CAGCACGCTACGAATGGCTTCTCTTAAGTGAACGTTGATGAAGGCCATCTTTCTTAGACTATTAATATTGAGATATGCATAATTGAACATCTTTTGATTTTTAGCGGTTTTTCTGCGCTGCATATTGCGACAAAAATGTGTTCATACGATGTAATGGAAATACTGATAAATTGGGGCGTTAATATTAGTGAATTAAATAGCTGCGGTCAGACAGCACTCCATATTGCAGCCGAAAAAGGCGATATTGATTTGTGCAAGTAAGACAGTTGCTCTTACATTTTCTATGTCTCTATAAAAATATGAAATTGCGATTTCTTTTATACGTTAGCCTGTTTTCTGGTGCTAGATCACTGAAGCATTAATTTAAAACAAGGAGAGCAAGGACAACATTTTCAAATTCACTTTCCGGTCGGAATCCATCATCTTCTTCCAGATAACTGATTACTATAGAATTAATAGGAATTTTAAGTGAAATGATGGACACCTATTTCAGACGACTGCTAAACTATGGCTTACCAACCGATTTGAAAGATAATGAACAAAAAACAGCAGCTGATATCGCGGGAAATATTGAAATTAGAGATTTAATCAGTCGTTGGGGCCTAGAAAAAACAAATGCCATAGAAAAGCGCTGCAAAGTAATGGAACATCTAATTTTTCCAGATATTCTTGTGAGCTTCGACAAAAGATCTTGTTTTAAAATGCCTGCGTTCTCATTTTTCTTGTTTTCAATCTTTTTTATTTTTAACTGATAGTCGAATTGTTTTCTAGTTCTTCATTCGTATGACTTTTTTTTCGAAAGAATTTCTGTTATTGGTACCGCATAGGTTGTTCTTTGTCGTAGATAGTTAGTGATGTCACTTGAATGTATTACATCAGTTAATTCTATGAATTACATGTTACCTAATTAACCGCTGGTTCAGGTTCTCTTTTGTTTTTGAAATTACGATAGTAGAATCTTTATATGTATAATGTGATCGATATAATTCAGCTACAGACGACATAATCCGTCATATGGACGAATTAGAATAATAAATTATGTTTCAGTTATTTTTAGACATTTTTTTTAAAGGGGAACAAAAGTATAAAATGTAATAAGCGAAAAGGAGGCTGTAAATACCATCCTGAAAGCCGAAATCATGGTAGTGGTTCTGGAGGTAGTGCGCTGTCAAATAAGCTTGAAGCAGCAGATGTGCACTGCACTGTTTTACAACGAGAGGTGCAAAAGAGACATCCAGAAGAAGAAGATTTACTAGATGCTGCAAGATGCGGTGATCTCTGTACAGTAAAGGTAAGGCAGATTTTCTCATCTGTGCTGTTCTGTACCTTTTATTCCTCCAGCTTTTCCTCTTAGATTTATTACTTTTTCACTTTTTGATTAGTGAGACGAGATCAAAATTGCATTATAAATTTTTTGGTTCACACTTCAACTGATAATCCAAATGATTATTTATTGCCATCAACATTTCTATAAGAATGACGCATTTTAAGATGCTAGGCCTCATCTTACTTTTCACGTAAGTTTTTCACATAGTTTTACACTTTACTTTTCACGTAGTTTCATGTCATCTTTTCAGCTGCTAAAGAGCTTATCTCATGTGCTACAAGACAAATAGTTCTTTCAGACTTATTATACAAAATTTATACAAAATTATAAGAAGATGTATATTGTAGGATGTACATACAAAATGTATACTGTAAGATCTGTGGTAGGTTCGAATATGTTTGTTCATCTTAAAAATTTTACAGCGCATAATTGAAAGCTGTGGAACAGAAATTATAAACTGTAAAGATTTTGATGGTCGTGAATCAACACCATTACATTTTGCTGCTGGATATAATCGGGTAGAAGTGCTGAAGTATTTGCTAGAAAAGGGCGCTAATGTTGAAGCAAGAGACACAGGGTATGAAATTCAAATTTGGTATCTACACATTAGATTTGATAATCTCCCATCTGTTTAGTTGAACTAATAGATATGGGTAGCCATCATTACGCATTACTTTTCTATTCCAAGAAAGCCAAATATCAAAAGAAAGCAAGATCTTTAAAGCTTTTTGCCTTTCATTAGTCTCTTTTCAGTTGGTTGGTTCCGTTGCATAATGCGTGTGCATATGGCCACTTGGTTGTTGCAGAATTACTTGTAAAGGTTAATTTCTGATACTGATTAACTTCTATAAAAGTCACATGTTATATTAAGGTGCGCATTTGTTTTGTTCGTCCGTTCACTTTATTTTGTGCACTAAACTTCTTATCATTGTTCTGATGAAAGTCCTCAAAGTATTTAAAATATAATTTTTACTTTTAATATCCTTATCCGTGTTTTATCAACTGATAGTCACGACTTTCATGTGTGCAGGATTCAAGTGAATTCTAAACTCATTTAATGCTAGAGTTGCTGTACAAGGCTGCTTCTTAAAGTTTCTATGCTGTTTATGTGTAGTTGTTGGAATTCCAGCATGGCGCTAATTTAAATGCCATCGATAAGTGGGGATATACTCCTTTACACGAAGCTGCGTTAAAAGGGAAGTTTGACGTCTGTAAACTTCTTCTTCTTAGTGGTGCTGACCCGAAGCATAAAGGACGCGATGGCAAGAGTCCATTGGATGTTGTCAGAGAAGGTAAGTATTTATCTCCAAATAAACATAGTCACAAAAATAATTTTCGAATACTTTAAAGGCAAGTAAATATAAAGTGATTTTTGCAAGTATATGTAGATTTTTTTAGATATCCTTACCCTAATACCAGCTCGCAGCATATTTATATTTTAGGGGCGGAAGATGTGTATAATCTTCTGCGTGGTGATGAAGCGGTGCTTGAGGCAGCGAAAGAAGGTGATGTTGAAAAAATTCGAAAAATCGTTATTCCAGCAACTGTTAATTGTCGCGATGTTCGAGGACGTCTTTCAACACCATTGCATTTGGCTGGTGAGTTACCTTATCCGTATCCAAGCATTCCAAAAGAGGTGTGCAGTTGTGGCAAATGCTTTGTATTACTTACGGAAAGTGAATTATGAAATGCTAAAAGAAAAACCTTTACACTGCTTTTTTTTTTTAATTTTTCTTTTATCAACATGATTACAAAGTCTGAGATATATTTTATGCTGATCGCTTCCCAAATCCTTCCGTTTTGATAGGAATTTTATTTGGTAAAAATTTATTTAACACAAATTTTTTTTTAATAAATTTATTCAGTACAGTTTTTCTTTGTAAAAATTTTAAGAAATTTATTTAGTAGAACTTTACTAGAATTTTAATGGCAAATTTGTTTAGCAAAAACAGCGAGAAAGTTGGTTTGCTTCAGCTGGCTATAATAATTTGGAAGTTGTGCAATTTTTGCTTGAAAATGGCGCAGAAGTTAATTTGAAAGATAAAGGTGGTCTGATACCTTTACACAATGCAAGCAGTTTTGGACATCTGGAGATTGCCGCCTTGTTAATTGAATATGGAGCCGAAGTGAATCATCCTGATAAATGGGGATATACTCCTCTGCATGAAGCTGCTCAGAAAGTAATGCAGTCGAAAGACTTTCTGATATCTCTCTATTGGTTTCGTCAGGACGATGTTATGAAATTACCAATTTATTTATTATGATTCACTGAAATTATCTTGTACAAGCTACCATTGAATAGGAGAGAATTGATAAGTGAATCTTGTAGTACCCATCAATCAATTGTTGATCAATTAATTGATGGATACTACATTCTCTTATTTTAGGGTCGTACTCAGATTTGTTCACTACTTCTAAATAATGGTGCAGATGTTACACTGAAAAATAACGAAGGTGTTACTGCGCTGGATATCACTATTATGGAAGACACGAAGGAATTATTGATGGTAAGCATTCTTTTTTTTTTTAAATTTTATGCTATTTGCGGTAGCAGCTTTTGGGGGAATTAACGTTATTATTAATTTCCGTACATATCTGAAAAATAGTTTTGACGCATCTGTTTCATTCAGAGTGCAGTGCCGGTTGATCTGAAAAAATTACCAGCTGTCCATATTGTGGATGATACAAGTGGATCAGTAGTTGATTTAACAATTTCATCTTTTGTGCGGGAAATTTCGAATAATGCAGTTGATGATATGCAATTAGGGATGGTCAGTTGTTCGAGAAATGATGCAAGTTTAGGGGATAAAAAAGTAGTGTTTTCTACTGCTTCGAAATTTTTCGTTGAAAGTTTAATTTTATTGATTTCCTGTTTCAAGTATTTCAGGGGTTTGATGGAAAAAAAAAACACATGTATTTTAATATTCGTAGTCCAGGTTTAAGGTCGTTGCAGTTCCTTTTCTTTTAATAGTTAAGCAATTAGGACGTTGTAGTTCTTTTTTTTAAATAATTAAGCAATTAGGCTCTTCGGATGGACCTCATGCTAAGACATGCTAAGACTTTATATCTGAATTTATTAAATTTAACTAAGCGATAAAAACAATTTTTACTTTAAGAGCAATTGTAGAAAGCATGCACAGTAGTATGACACTGAGCTTTAGAATTTTAAAATTAAGTGCATTGTGACCTTAAGCTACGTTTGTTTTTGCGACATTTGTTTTTTAGATTTTCTAATTCGTGAGTAGGTTAGTGTAATAAAGTATTCCACTTCCAGCGAGAGTGTAACGAGTATGAAGCAAACTTTTCTATGGAAGAATATTTGCTATCGATTGGTCTTAGTTCGCTGTCGAATCTGTTTGCTAAGGAAAAAATTACATTAGATGTTCTGGCCATTATGACACATGATGATTTGAAAGCGATCGGTATTGATGCTTTCGGAACTCGATTTCGATTACTCAAGAACATTGGAAAATACATACGGAAAAGTAAGGGATTTCATCAATTTTTAATGCGCTTAGAGTGGAACTGAATGGTCAAAAGTAAATTATCTTTTTTTCCTACTTTATTATTTTTACCATCTCAGACAAGGTATGAGGTTTCGAGATGATTATTCTTAACATGCTTGAAGATAGTTTAACATGGATCTAAGGAGTGACATATATTTTATTGTTTGCTTCAATGTTCAATATAAGCGTGATTATCTCAGCTATAATTAATCATTGTTGTTGGGTTATTTGTTAGTAGTGTATATGAACTGAAATAAAAATTGAGACAGTGCTTGTTTTGAAATATCACAGTTTGCCTTAACTATTTGTTGGTATCCCATCTGGCCGTCTTATTTTTCTTGCCATATGTAACTCTTAAAACATTTATTTAGGTAATGAAGATAGGAATTCGCCGAGTAATATTCAGGTACCAGTATCAGTGGGTACAGTGCTGGTACAAATCGAGCGTTCAAATGAAATCTTCCAACAAATTGAAGAAGGATTGAATTTTACAATTGTATCACACCGAGATCTTGGTTTGGGCGGAACTTACACCAAGTTTGAAGTGATCGAAATACAGAAAATTATTAACAAAAGAATTTACGAAAGGTGATAAATCTTTATCATTGTCAAAGAAACGACAGTTTCTGAAGACTGGGAGAACAAACTGGTCAAGAGTAAACGATATATGGAACTGTTAGGCAGCAATAATTTATAAAGTCGGTCAGGAGTATATAGACAGGCAGATAATTAGAATTTGTTAAATGCGAGTTTTTAAGACAAAGTTTTCTGAAAAAAATTCCTTTTCCCGGATTGTCTTTAGTCTTCTTTAAAGTAAAAGGCTTTTAAGTTCATCTAACTGTTTAGCTAATTTCTAACTTTCAAAGTGTTCTTTACAAAGATATGTACGACGTCGCGGAGATATAGCTGAAGAGAACTGTGGTGAGCATAACGAGAAGTTTTTATATCATGGATCACCGTTTATACACTCCATAGTACAGAAAGGTTTCGATGAAAGATATTCATATATGGGTGGTATGTTTGGTGCTGGTGAGTTAACTTGGATTTGTTCAAATTTAAAGAGTTGATGAATGAAAAAATTCTTTTTACGGAAAATATTCTTGTGCTCGAAATTTTTTACTATGAGAACTTTGTTTTGCTTTTCTTAAAATATATTTAGTATTGCATCAAGTACACTTAGTGATAATCTCAACTTACGCACTAAGAAGTCGTAAAAGATTCTCATGCGCATTGAGTCGTAAAAGAAGACATGTAATCAGATTATATGAAGGATGGATCATTTAATTCTCATACGCATTGAGTCGTAAAAGAAGACATGTAATCAGATTATATGAAGGATGGATCATTTATGTAACCGTCAGCAACTTTTGTTATCTAGTAATTGATTTTGGAATTGGGAATTACCTGCTTATTTTTCCAAGTGGCAATTTTGTACTATGGTTTCATACTACTGTGTGTATTGTGCTGCAGATTTGATTTAATCATAGTCAACTTAAAATACAATTCATATAAAAAGCTTATTTGACTGAATTCAAGAATTCTTATAGGTATTTATTTTGCGGAACATTCGAGCAAAAGTAATCAATATGTATTTGGTATGGCAGGTAGTGGTTGCAGTCTTCACCATGATCGTTCTTGTTATATTTGTGCACGACATTTATTACTTTGCCGAGTGACGTTAGGAAAATGTTTTGTACAGGTAAATTTGTTCCATAGTTGTTTAATTTTACCGAAATGAGTTCATGAAACGGTGAAGAATGAAACAGTGTTGGAAACATTAAGGATTGCTTTTTTATTTCGGCTACTTTGAAATAGATGGTAGTGAAATATTTCCTTCTACTCCAACTTTATTGCTTAATAGTATTTTTGTTCTTTTCGTGCAGGTAATAAAAAATATTTCTTTTTGTAGAGTTCTTGTAACAAAATGGCACATTCACCACCTGGTCATCATTCAGTGATGGGGCAGCCGCGTGTTGGTGGTTTAAATTATCCGGAATATGTCATATATAGAGGGGAGCAAGTAAGTAGTTCTTTTATAGTCTTTTAGTTCAAATTTTACTTGTTGGTCACTATTCTTTTCAGAAGATATTCATGAATTAGGTACTAAATATTTTAAAATAATAAATGTGAAAGGGTTATTTACAAGAATGAATTTTGAATTTTAAGAGCGTGAGGTAAAAGATTTCATTTATTTCTTAAATTTGGGAGACAGCTATTGAATTCTTGCATAATATTTTCGAAAAAAGAATGTTTAATAAAAATCTGCATAAGTGTTTTAATGTCTTAGGTTGGCGGATTTGACCAAATTGTAAAAATTCATAAAGGCTCCTACGTCTTGTCATTGGTAAAGCTGAGAGAGGTTGAAGCTTCGAAAATATGCATAAATATGAATTTCATGTATTTGACATATAAATATCAATACTTAATTTTTGAAGAAGAAACATTACTTTGTAGGCTTATCCGGAATATGTGATCGTTTATCGGATAGTTAATGACAATTTGGGGCCTCCTTTCTAATGGTTGTTTCATTTTTCTTCACTTTGATCATTTTCATTTTTTTCTCTATACAGTTGAAAGATTTTTTACTCCAGAAAAATTTAAGTCTGATGTTCACATCTCGTATCCAGAGCGATAGAAATATTTTTCAAACATGCTAAGGATACGAAAAGGAACGCTTAAAACGGTACTTTCCAAGCATGACATTTTTTGGTTATTTAATAAAAAGACTACTTAGTATTCGATTACTTAGTAAAAGGATACAGGAATTTTCTCGAAGTAGAGAAATCCAGCATATTTCTTTGAATTGTATTAGGAAATTGCCCAGAACTTTGAGCTTTAAAGATTAGTTTTTCCGAGATCTTCTGTTGGAAAGAATTTCAAGTCCTTTGAAGTTTGGAAATGTTTTTGGATTCAACATTTCTATTTGGTTTTCAGAATTTTATATTTTCTCGGTTTATTTTCTTTTTGTTGGCAGATGTGAGGATAGAATTCATTTGTCAGGAAAAATTTATGGGCATTAATAACGCCTCATTTTTTTGTAAAGTAAAATACTTCAAATAGCTTTTCTGAGGTTTTACCCTGATAAATAGTGTCAACTAAATCAAATTACATTATTTTCAAGAGATAGAAGAGGAAAGGAAGAAACAATTTATTATGACTCAAATTTAGAAGGGTTGCTGAGGTTCGACAATTGTGTTTATAGGAATGAAGTTCTTTCCTACAAACGATAATGTATTTGCAGAAACCGTGAGAACGGTTTCTCCTGACGAAACTGGTGCTTTTGCTTGTCTATAGTTTTTATACTCTGACATAGCAATGCAGTGTATAGTATTGGAAAAGAATGTCATCATCATTTCTTCAGACACTTTCGTTTCTGGATTTGTTTTTTTTAAATTTTGTGTGTTCTTTTTTTAAACCGTTTTGTATCGGCCTGAGTTTAGCTATTCTATGGTTAGATTGGAAATGCTAATGAGGTATTGTGATTGTACATATAAACATCTTAGATCAAGAACGGTTTTCTTTGTTTACCTTTTCCCCAAACATTTCAAAAGAATCGTTGAATCATGTTTCACACTTATTTTAGGAAATTCAAATTTCGTAGTTTTAAAATTTCAATGTATAGAGAAGTGATTCATACAATATAATTTTTGGTCAAGAAATTTTGTCGGTCTTCTATTTGTATTTGTTTTCTTTTCTTTCCTTTGTTCTTATGGTGTTTGACTTCTTTTGTTTGCTTGTTCCTTACATTCGATTTAGCTTAGTAACGTTTTCAATTAAAAGTTAAATTGATAACTAGTGGAATATATTCCCGTTGTTTGCTTCATGTTTCTATCCTCTTCTCTTCACCCCTTTCCTGCTCACGATTAATCGCTTTTTGTGTGGATCAAGTCTAACAGTTTAAAGGTATATGCGTTACTTACTTGCAAACTGAGACTGAAGTTTGATGTGATAACTTTCCGTTTTGGAATTAAAGAACTCCGTTATGTGAAAAAGATGCACATCTTAATTTAGTTTTAAAAAAGTTTTGTTAGAAATCGCAAACTCGTTAGAAACTCAAGGGGATAAAATATTAGTTTTGCAACGAAATTAACGTAAATCCGGTGCAGATATTTCATGAGATTTCTTTTATAAGCAAGACGTTTGGGACAGTAGTTCTTGTTTCTTTCGCTTTTGTTCATGCGAGACCTTGTCCCAAATTTTAATTCAAGAGCAGAAAACACGGTTGGGAGCTGATATGACCGTTCATTAAGATAATCTGTTATCAGCAAAACGGGTGGTGGAATGTGTGGACATGGATGAAACTGTTCATTTAACTGAGAATCACAACATTATTCATTAGTTTTAGCATTATAAAGTGGGAGGTTAGATAAAGTAAATGTTACGTTGTACTTATTTCCAGTTTTGCGGAGGTCATGGCATGCAAAATACAAAATATATGAGTAACACAAGAGCTCGGCTATCTTCAAAATTAGTGAATTAGTGGTCCACTCTGAATATGCAGTTTTTATTTATCGTACACGCCTATATATCAATCAACTTACCAAGGTCAAGTGATGCAGATGCAGACTGGGTTGGACGGGTCGTGTCGGAGATGGTAGGAAGAAAGAGAATGAAGATACTTGCTGATTCATTGATCAATTTCACAATAGTTGGTATTCGTTTCCGATGTGTGGCATGTCGTCGTTTCCTTTACATGGAATCAGTATGACGTCCACAAATTAAATAATAAGTGAAATCTGAGGAAAGCATCGAGATGTTAGCAGAGTACCGAAAGAATAAGTTACCGAGGCTTTTACAGATTCCTCGATAAAATACTTTCAAGAATCGAAATGCTAATTCTTCCAGTACTTCTTTTGAATGAGATAGCAAGACAAATTTGCCTAGGGCAGGAGTCTCTAATTATGTACAGTGATCAGTATTTCTTTTATCATCGCTTGTTTACCAGCCAAAAATAATTTATTTTGCTTTGTGACTAAGTCATTCTGTTGCTCTATTAAATTCTGTTTAGTAATGAGTGATAATGTATAACTGTTGTCACCAAATGTGGCAAATGATCTTAGCTGCATTGTCTTTAAATATCCGTTTCTTTATTGTACAAAAGATGGTGAGTTGTTTGATACTTAAAAAGGGTTGTGTATGACAATCTTTGAAGAGTTTATCACTGAAGGATTCCCTTTTCCGCTACTTCGAGAAGGAAATAATTTCGATTCTTACGAGACTTTCAAACGGGTCTTTGGAATGATACGGGTGCAACAAAGAATTACTAAGCCTTGATGGCACTAATTTTGAGATGGTCACACCGGCTTTCACTTGTTGATCATCATGAAACAATGCGATCGAGGAGGATATGAAGAGGTGCAGTGGCCTTTTCTTTCACATGATTACCTACTATAACATAGCGAGTGAGGAGGGAAGGTCACTCGATCTTATGCAGTTCCTTCTCGCGTTGTAGTCGCTTCGTTGTCCACTGCCGTTGTGTATGGTCATTAGAGCCTGCAATGATTTTAGAGTGACTACATAGTTGTTGAAGGACAGAACGCGGAAAAGTCGCTTCCATTCTGTATCCGAGTGGTATTGACTCATCCAGCGGTGCATTTGTAGCCTGTTGGCAAATTGTAGCTGATATCTTAGGGTTTTTTCCTATTATCATTTGAAGATGTTAGGCTACTTACAAATTCCATTGTAGCTCCTCAACGAGTATCCACACCATCATTTCCAGCATTGAAACTTCCATATCTTCCGTTTCCTCCATTAAATATGCAACAACAAGGGTGAGTCTTAGGAAGAAAACGTTTATACTGTACCAACGTCAGGTTTCTTACCGGTAGGAACGTCTTGTGAAGTCATAAATCATTGGATTAAAGGTCAGGCGGGGATCCTGCTGCACTTCTCTGCATTGCTCAAGGTTCCCTTGATCTAGGTTAAGACTACTGTGCAATGGATGTACACGTATGGTTTTTTTTTCCTTAATGCTCGTTTATTAATTGAATTCGTGGTACACGAAATGATTTATTGGAAGTCAGTATTATCACCACAGATTAATTACTAATAACAATTTTTAGCATCGACTAGGAAGTTCATAGATTTACATGTCCACGGAACATCGGAAACGAATCATCAAAACTACTGATCCCAACAATGATGTACTTCGGAAAACTCGAAATATTGATAGCACCAGTTCTTCAGGATGCTCAAAAGCCGATGTAAACTGCTATGTTCTGGAAAATTTATGTAATATTCTGTTGTTTTGAGAAACTAATCGAGATTAGCCTTCAAAATGAAGCACTTGTACAGGTGATGATTGCACTGCTTGAACTCAGTCTCGAACTGTGCGTGACTGGAACTTCAGTACTGTGATAGGGGAAATCAGTTGCTTTGGAAAAAAGAATTGAATTCTTAGTTACTTTAGGGAAGAGAAAAATTGCATTATATATAATGGTTTTAAAATGTTTAGGAAAATGGTACAGTTGAATCGTCAAACAGATTGGCTTTGAAGGAACCAGCACCGTATAGTGACGATCCGGAAGTTATTGCGCAACGAGCATGTATTGATTATTCGCAGAAAATTACTCTTGAAATGGCCAGAAGTGGCAAAGGTAAATGGTCACCAGAATAGAAATTGAATTACAATTGATTTAAATCCATTCGCGGTTTAAAGTGTTTGGACTACGACAGAATTTTCCAGCTGGGCGCCCCGTGCGTGTTTTTGCTGATGGTGTCTATGATCTTTTCCATTATGGTCATGCGAATCAGCTGCTACAAGCAAAACGTGCTTTTCCGAATGTGTATCTTATCGTTGGAGGTATGGTGCTTTCCTGACTTTCTTTTTTATATTATTCAGTTTTTTCTGGTATTTCAATCCCCATAATTTTCTCCATACTGTTTAGTATGTAGCGATGCAGAAACTCTCAAATACAAAGGTCGTACAGTGACATCAGAAAATGAGAGATATGAAGGCGTACGCCATTGCCGTTATGTTGATGAAGTCTATAGAAATGCTCCATGGTTTTGCACTGTAGAGTTCCTAAAAAACCTGAAAGTAGGCGAATTTTATTTTGATTTTGTCTGTCTTTGAAACTATAATATTGTGACTAACGATGCTGCCTAAGCATCAAAGTTTCATATTTTCTTGAGAGATAAGTGTGTTTGAAAAGTTTTTAGTACTTTGAGTACCTGTGGAAATCCGCTGGTCTTTTTTCCTTAATTTGTAACTTGATCGTTTCAAAATTGTACTTAGCGTTTTAAGATATAGAAGTTAATTACTTAGGCGGTAACTTTCTTCCGTAAATTGTCTAAATTAATGGTTACTTTTGCTTGCATCTTTAATCCTTCATTCACTCTATTTCATCGAAGATCATACTCTTTAACTGACTTTCCATGTTTTAGGTTGACTTTATAGCGCATGATGCGATACCATACGTTGCACCTGGCGATGCAGATCTTTATGAGAAATTTCGGCGAGAAGGGATGTTTATCGAGACACAACGAACGGAAGGCGTTTCAACGAGTGATGTTGTATGCCGAATAATCCGTGATTACGACACTTATGTGCGTCGTAATTTGCAGCGTGGTTATTCTGCTAAGGACCTCAATGTTGGATTTCTTGCTGTAAGTTTTGATAACTGTACCACATATAGTAAATAATTATTCCGTGATACTGTGCTAATGTTTTTCTGATTTATTTCGAAATTCTCACAATAATTTAACACTGAATGGTTAATGCAGGCGAGACGTTATCAACTCCAGAATCAGGTTGATCACTTGAAGCAAAAAAGTTTGGAAGTTATACAGACGTGGCGTAACAAAAAGGATGATTTTATTCGTGGTTTTTTGGAAACATTGCAGAAAGATGGTGGAATCGGTTTTAATGTATGTTTGTTCGCATTTTTTAAAATTATAAGTCGTCATGTGGGGTAAGAACAACATTAAAAAAAGAATGATACTGAGTTTCCGTAAAAGATAATCAATGTCTCACTCTTCGTTTTTGACAGTAGCACTCAGGGTTTTTTTTTTTTTTAATGGGAAACAAAATTGTTTTGGGATTCGATGGGAACATCCAAATAGGATAGAATTGATCCATGCATCAGTATTCGTCATTGCATTGTGCAAGGTTTTTGTTACAATTTCTTTTCTTTCCTCTCTCTAGTAAATCCCACAAAAAATTAATTTCAAATAACATGGTGATTATAATTTGTGTTTGTTAAAGATGATTTTCACAATGGAAATATTTTTAAATTGCTAGGAAATCTAAATGCAGATGTTCAGTGGTGGAGCTTATTTCCAACTTATATGTTTTTTGATAATTTGTAGGTTGTTGGTAGCAGATTAAGGACGCTTGTTTCACGTAGCCCGTCTCCATTAGATTATGAGGAGCAAGCGGAAGAGGACACGGTAGATGCAGCATCTTATTGTGAAACGTCTTCAACAACTAGTTTTGCAAGTACTAGGAATGAAACCTACTAATGGTATATTCAGGCTGAATATTTGTTATACTTGTTAATCTAGCTTACAAAATGCCTTGTTTTTTCTTTTTTCGTTTTTTTCTTTGTTGTAAATCCGACATTTCTGCTTATTTTTCAGGTTATTGCCTTATTAATTGTTCTAGTTATGCTTGTCTCTTTCACGAAGACATTAATGCAGTATTTCTTACAAAGTATTATCATACGTTACATATTGCATGAGAGATTTGAAGAACTTTGTTTAGACAAATGTGAAAGCAGTCGCAACGCTTGACCGATGTTTGCATAACTAAAAGCCTTGATTGTTGGAAAAAGTAACAAAAAGAAAACTTATGCAAAGTACTTTATGTGTTTTAGTATATCATAAGTCGCATTTATCTAATTACTAGGCTTAGAATATATATTAAGATGTTGTTTGTTTTTTAAATTAAGTTTCCATATTCCCTAAATTTAAAATGCTTATGTCTGTTTGTTTAACTTAAATAAGTCTGACTTCAGCAAGATTTGCAAACTGATTCTACACTACTGTACTGGAGAGAATTCACGTCTTTAAAAGTTAGCGAAACGGAAAGATTGGAAGTACCCTATTTGTCTAACATTTTTTTATTCCGAAAAATCTTGCTTATGTCCTCTTTGCCACGTTGGCCTTAGAATTAAAAATGTTATTCTGGCTATCTTTAATCTCTTTGCAGTTCGAAGAACTAAAACCCTATTACTTTCGATATTTTGGGCTTCTGAGTTTGTTACTTTTGAAATTCTAAATTGGCCGCTAGAACAAGATAGAACAAGTTCTTATCTATTAGAACCAGTGCATTATCAATCATGTTTAAGAAAAGCACATGTGATATTGTGTGTTTTTTGCATCATGCTTCATATTATCTTTTCCACTTTAATTCATTTTATTTCACAGGCAGTATTTGAGTTACGCTATGTAGGTTTGAGTAAGTTATAATCAAATGAGTTTATACTTAGAACAAGATAAAACAATTTTTAAAATTATATTTGTACTTTGTCTTGGGCGTTTTTCTTGTCATCATTGATTCCTTTCGTCAGGAGCAATTGTTGCCAATGTGATATCCTTTCTTGATTTTGTTCCCACATATTTTAAACCTTCACTTTATTTTCAGACAGCCACGAGGCATTCAATTTCTTAAAACTTCTGTGATTCGTCATTGTATTAATTTTTGCCGCTTTCTTTTGAATTGAAAACCACTTCATTCATTTGTGAAAGAGTTAGATTATTTTTATAAATTTCAAATGATGTCTTACGATTCCGAAATCTTGAACTAAAGTGAAGGAATATTTTGTTACGTTACGAACCATGCTGCAATGAATTAGCTGTCAGTAAAGTAAAGTACTCAAAAGTCTAGCAAAGAAAGTCTGTTCTAAGCATTGAATTTGAACATCTTTGCTTTATCATTACATCATCATTTATTCTGTGACACTCCACATAATTCATATCTTTTCTACTGGTCTTTCCTTTCGTTAGATTCATTTGATGTTAATAATATAATTTCTTGCTACTTTCAGGAATTTATCATGATTAAGTTCTGGAAAGTTGTTTTGACTGCATAACTTTCCACAACAGTTCTAGCAAGTTAAAATGGAATAAATCTGTATAGAAGAATAAAAATTATTTTTCGTATGGGATTAATTCTGTAAAGGAGTTGTAACATGAATGGTATTTTTGGGCACATTCAAAATCATTTCCAAGGAAATTGATTTAATTTAGAACACTAACCGTAACTTTCGATTTGTCGCATCCAATCATTTTCGTGTATCTATGTTACTTATGCCTTGCATATGAAGTTTCGTGGCAAGATTTTTTGATTTGTTACGAGAAAGTTAAGTTAATAAAGATTTCGTGCAGTTAATATTATGTGCATTTCCAGGCATTTAGCCGTAAATGCTTTTGTGCATTGTGCAGGTTTTTCCGAAGAAATATATTATTATCTGTCAGAATTTGAATTCTAGTTGTAATTCAGGTTTCATCGTTGGTGGTATTCCATACGATGCATAGGAACTTCAAGTATCTAGTCGAGAGCATGCAATGATTGCTTTTCCTAAATGGATTTTCATCCACCAAATCTCGATAGTAACGAAATTCAGAATTACATTCTTAATAAACAGGAAAAGCGGGCAGTGGATTCGAGGCAATATTCAAACTGGCATTACTTCAATTTCGGGATTTATAAGTGGTGCTCGTTAGGCTGCATTTGTTGTTTTATTTTCATTCATCTCACTGTCCCAAAGGATACCGTTGTAATAGAGTGGTGAATTTTTCCGTTTGGAGTCGTAGAATTACTTGGATCCAGTAGAGTAAAGTCCAACATGAATGGTTTCGAAAAGCCAGCTTTTGTTAATCCTTGTCTCGTGTTTGAAACTCGAGTAATCTTTGTTAGCATACGGTAATGTAATACGGAATCTAACTTCTTCTGAAAGAAGATTTACAAAGTTGTCTTCCTTTAAAGTTTATTGTATTGTATGTTAAAATTATTATATTGTATGGTATTTGCATTTTTTAAAAGATTCCTTTGGTAAAATTTCCTCCCATCCATTAATGTGTTGTCATGATTTGTGGTTGACTGGTTGAACACACTTCTAATTGATTTCGACAATTTATATAATATTTCGGAATTTGAGTGTTTTGGAGAAAGTCAGTAGTTGCTATAGTATGAAAAATGATTCGAAGTTGGCGTCAGATGCGACGTCATCCGGAAAAGAGAAAACTCGGCGAAAAATACCGCTTAAAGTAAGCGGTTTTTTTTTTCTTTTGTTATTGCTGGAGTATTCCCAGGGGATGCAATTTCTTTGGAAAAATACAAGGGTTTTAAGAAATTGCTAAAGGCAGAGTAGAAAGAATGGACAATTTTTGCATAAGTGATTCATTTAAGCTTCTTAGGAGTAATCAGCTAGTTATCAGTTTCTTTGTTGTCAGTTTTCGAACCGTTTCAATGTTAAGCACTGATTTTTCAGATTGTTTTACGTCGATTGCCGGCAGCTATGACATGGGAGCAGTTAGAAATTCAGTTAAGTCCAATTCCGGAATTCGAATTCTCTGAATTTATCGTTGCCAAGTCAAGGTCCGTCTTATTCCTATGTAGCATAAATTCGGTATTCTTTGTAATTTTGTTCTCAGTTCTCGCACGGTTTTGTACAGTTCGTCGCGATTCAGTTCTTTAATATATAATTTTGCATTTATTCAGTGGAGCAGTACTGATTAAATTAAATTTTTCCATGGAAATTGCTTGATCTGTCTAACATGAAATTACGTTAAAATTTTTGTCAAACTTGAAAGTGTCGTATTAATTACTTTTGTAATCTCTATTTTCGGTTTTTTCTTGGAAATTTCTTTTAATAATTCATTTTAAAAATATTTTACATGTCTTTTGTTTGGTTTCATTGCTCCTACACCGTCAGTTTCATATGATTTATTTTCTAGTGAAGGAATGTCGTTTTCGAGAGTATATTTCGTTTTCAAGAAAGATGATGATACTATCGCATTCAAGGAACGTTTTAATGGATATGTTTTCGTTGATAATAAGGGTGATAAATTCTTCCACATATTTTTCAAAATTTAAACTTCGGATCAAAAATCGGTGATTAGTCTGTATGAAAGTTGTACCCCATGCAAACTCTTGCTTATATTGAAGTGTTTTTTATTATTGCTGATAATAGGTAGTGACCACATTATCATCGAACAGTCTCATTCTGAAGGTGTTGAAATAGGCTAAATATGCTCCAACAGAAATAAAGGCTTTGATCAAAAATTCTACATAGATTTTGCTGTTATTTACACCGTACATTTGAGGAGGAGAATCTGTTGGCATTGTCGAGCTTGCGCCAAATCCAAAAGTTCCACACGACAAATTAGAAACTGCCAAAGAACGTGATTTCAAATGTGGTACTATAGAAACAGGTTTTTTTGAAATACAATATTTTCATGATTCATTTTAGTATCTTTGTGGTATTAATCGAATTTTTATTCCAAATAATTTAGATCATGAATACAAAAAATTCTTGAGCGAAAGGGAAAATCCGCAAAAACCAGATCTAATACCGGTGGAACAACTAATCAAAGAAATCGATGAAAAGGAGAAAATGGTTGAAAGTGACTTTTCTCTTGATGAATTTTTTATTAACTGGGATCCAAAATTCAATTAAGAAACTAGCTTCAAACATTACGAGTTATTTTTATATATCAGGAAAGGACAAAAAAAGCAAATGAAAACTAAAGGGATAGAAAGAGAATTGGACAGATAAAGTGGTATTAAAAGAAATGAAAACAGATACAGTTTTTTTGGAAACCTGGTTAAGGAGGTTTTGGTAGAGTAGTTACATTGCCGTTACCTTTGAATCTTTGATCAGAGATTTGGTAATGTTAATTCTAGTTGTAGCAGTTTGCAGGAATCCTAAGAGACAAAGTAACAATACTCTTAGACATAACCTTTATCTAAAGTATACTTTTTGAGTGACTCCTTTTCAATTCATTGATTCTGCAAGATACCCAAATGAATGTTCTGATGCATATCAAGAAATTTATGGCGATTTTGCAACTAATTTATATGCTTATATAATTACTGTCGCAATGATTTTGCTGTAGTTAGTGATGCACAAAAACTATCGTCTCGTAAAATACAAAAAGCGTTAAAAAAAAATGTTTAAAAAGGTCAAGAAAAAAATTTCAAGAATATAATGTGTAGGCAAGAAAACACTGAAGCGGGTAGTATTGCCACAGTTTTCGTCGATTGTGGAAGGGAAACAGTCTAACTGGGATGAGTGGAAAATGATGTGGAGAGGAAAATTTTGTGATTTTTATAATCATCCGTTGCATGATTTCAGAGAATGCTGTGCAGGAAACACCGCTAACGCAATACATGATCAGAAAAAGTATCAAACGCATTGAGGTTGTTCCTTTCTTGAAATACTTTTTTTCTTATTCAAGAGCACTAAATTGATGGTAGCATTTGTCCCTTTCTTAGCTATAGAGAAAAATATATGATCTGTATTAATTATATTCACAAGTAAATAATGCGTTATACTGTCCAAGATTTTCACTGCTGTTATTGGATTTGTTTATTAGTTTTCCCATATTCCATTTTTCACTGTCAAAGATTTTCTGTTTTCTTTTTCATGGTAATATTTCAGATAAATTTTATCTTCTAATTCGATAACATAAATGAGTTCTTTTGAAAAACTTATAGGAAAAGCGACGTGCTCGTGAAGAGGAGAAACGTGAGCGGTTGGAGCGTCGTTATGAAAGTGAACTGAAAGATAAGCAGGACCGGCAAGAGGCAAAGAAAGTGACTGAGTTTCGTAACTCGAAGTTTGAACGAAGCCATGAAAGTTCAGTGAAGGAAAAAGAAAGGTTGTCAAAACTGCAATTTTCCTGCACGTATTGACATGTGTTTGACTTTTTGACCTGAAATGAACATGATATTCACATCCATTAGTGATACTTTTAGATGGAGTGGCATTGCACATGCTATTCTCATATCCTTCGTAAGTTTGGGATTGAGGATATTGAGCGAAAAAATAGTTCATAGTGTAAATCATTTGATTCATTATGTTTGATTAGGAGATCAATAAGATGGAAATTTTCACAGGATAAAAATTCGAACATATCGATCCAATGATTATAGCCGTAATGGTATGATGGAAAAAAGCAGTAAATGGTGTGATACTAATGACCGTAACAAATGTATTCAGTCACCGAAGAAAGGACATGATACGTTAGGTATTTAATTTATAATGTGGGTAACGGGATATGTATCATAAACGGGTCCAAAGTATGGGAAGTAATTCAAATTCTCTCTGCAGCCAGCAACTATCATTTTTCGAATAAAACGAAGCAGAATGATGAAAATCAAAGTTTCAAAGCTGAAAAAGTTGAAGGATTGGAAAGTGAGAAGAAAATAAGAAAGGAGGATGAAACTGTCTTCAATAAAATTATATCATCGAACGATATTATTGGGCCAACGTCGTACGTCTTCTTGAAGTTTTAATTTAGGGTTTTTTTTTCTAGTGTTTGCACTTGCACAAAGATTATAATGTAGGATAAAGCATAGAAACAGAGTTACTGGATAACAAGACCGACAACAGGACTGATACATTTCAAGATATGGTAGCAACTGACACGACTGAAATGCAACTAAACGTTTGGTGGTCACCATGAAAGGAAACCGCCTTGAAGCAGCCATCAGTGGTACAGATCACTCAAAAAATGAAAAGCAGTGATTGTAAACGTATGCATGAAGTCGATGCATCCAGTTTCAGGTTATTAAGATATTCATATAATGGGCGAAATTCTCAACGAGTTGCAGAAGCACATCTTAAAACTGCAAAACTTCGTAGTATCTTTTACAATAGGTTATGGGATGAAATGGCGGAGTGACATTCATGCTTATCATGCACTTGGTGTAATGCTAACTTTTCTTAACTTCCTGTGTAAAATTTAGAGTTGTGAATAAATGCGGTGAGTGTTTCCAGATCGGACAAATCGAGTACCAAAATTTCGAAAGTAGTAAATCGAATGCTAACGCACAAAATCACAGCAACCAAAAAAGATGAAAAAACCCCAGACGACGGAAAGAAGGAAGAAAAGACTGAAAATGGTTTTACAAAACCTCGTCGTAATAAGGTGAGCAAATTAACAAACTTCCTGGCTGTTAGGACTTCACTAACTCTGAAAGAATTTATAGCTTTCTTATCATGTGTGCGGAGTCACTTGGTCGTGATATGTCCATGTCCATGGCTGTTTCGTTCAGTTAACGGAATCAGAAAATTGAATTTGTTCATTGCATTGCAGAGGCTGTTATCATACTTCACAATTAATCCTGTTTCATGCTGTTCATTTCCGAAATTGTGAAATTAAATGTTGTAATATAGTTGCTGACTGTATTCTATGAAGCATTAATCCAGTTCACTGGTAATTCATGATATCCAATTCAAGAAAGTTTTCTATGTCACAAAATTTCCCTTTCTCGAACTATGATATGCTCTTGTTTGCACACAATACTCATAAATGAATTTGCATCATTAGGTTAGAAATAAGACGAAAGGGAAATAAGAAATCTGAACAGTTATCCTTGAAAATAAAATTTAGGTAATGATGCCAGTTATATAGATTGTTCGAAGCAAAGCCTTTGATAAATAATTTTTTGATTAACATTTCCTACTCAAATGTTAAATTTATACAAGAAAAGAAAAACTGGTACTACTGAGTTATGCTGTAAAAAAATTTTCCATACAGATCATCATTCCTTTTGTTCTTTGCTCTTCTCTTTTAATTTGAACGAAATGATAAAGTGATTCTTGTCTCTTTTCACTTTTGTTTCTACTGCTTTTTAAATGTGCTTCTGCGAATTGAATTTGATTTAGGATCGTCCAGAGCGTGCAATATATCAACCTTCTGCCGTTCGGCGTCGAGTTACGACTTCAGTTGCGTCTAGTTTAAATGCTGCAGAAAAAGTGTCATCAGCTTCCAAGGAAAAGCCTTGAATGTGTGAGTTAAGTAAGTTACAAATCAAAAAAAGTTTCCATTTGGGTACTTGGAGAATTAAACGCACAAACAAGATAATATGCCAAAATATTTTTGCACGGATCTGTTATAAAATGGTATAAATAGTCCAAAAATAGGACTGATTCAGAAGCTGAGTAAGGAGTTCCCATAAGCGAATGATGGATCTGAATATAGAAATGGTTTACGAAAGAGCTGTGTAGGGATCGTTTGATTTTCAGATTTGGGGCTTGTTTGAAGATCCTTAAATCTATAAAACATCATCTAACTTGACTGTGCTTATTAAGGTCTCCGTCTTCCATATTCCACCATCTGTATAGTTCCTTCTATCCTTTGATATCAGCATCGAATATTCCATTTTACTCTTATGTTTTTTACTCCTGCTAGAATAGCGCTGCACAAATAGTGTTGCAGGTATTTTCTAATCTTCGATTTAAAAAAGAGTTGTATCATTTCGATGCTTATTAGTATAAGCAGCGCACCCAGTGTGATCATGTTTTAATCTGCTCCTCCCATTTATTGGTCGCATTTTAAGGTGATTCTGCTGGCATGAAATACTGGAAGAATTGCGTATCTGAATAGTGGCTAATGTGTACCAGTGGCAACAACAGCAGCAACGATGGTTCTTAACAGTTTGTCAACTAAAAAACATACGAATTTTGGTCCAACAACTATTTTGGCCAAAAGAAATGCGAACTTGGCCAATTTTGTGAAGACTGATGCCAGTGAAACTGAAAAGCATTCTTCCTTATCAGTTTCAATTACTCAGTTAATTGATGACGAGTTCCAGCGGAAATCCATTTTTTGATTCTTTTATAAGTGATACCGTCGTTTATATATATATATATATATATATATATATATATATATATATATATATATATATATATATATATATATATATATATATAGTAG